TAGTCACCTCCCAACTATTGCAATTTGCTCCACATGGGGCTGCCCTTGCAGATCACCCAGCAGCCACGACTGATCCAGAATGCAGCAGCATGGGTATACATGTGTCATCATGCACATGCGAAGCCTCTGCTTTATACAAGCTGCACTGGCTCCCAATAGGCTTTTGGCTGCAATTCAGGGTACCTGATCATCACCCATAAAGCACGCATGGCATAGGATTGGGTTATTTGTGGGAAGCCTGTTCCCAAGGGTATCTTCCCATTCCACACATTGAACAAAGTGCACACACTCAGAGTCCCTTCCTTAAACTATGTCACCTTATAAGTCCCAGGTGTGCCTTCTTATTAATGTCTCCTGTCCTTTGGGCCAATCTTCACCGCAACATATGCTGACCCTGGAGGCCTTTAGGAAGGCTTTAAGATCTGGCTCTTCCCCCAAGCCTTTGGGACAGAAAGAGTAGAGTCTCCACCCCTAGGAGTTACTCTATACCACACGTCAGGCACGTTCACCATTTATTGTCTATGTGGTTTAATGATACGTGTTTTTTGTATTTGCTGGTTTTGACTTTTTTTTTTGTATGCCATCCATGGTCACATTATCTGAGTCAGGTGGCCATATAAATGCTTTAAATAAACAAACAAACAAACAATTGTGCCAGGAGAAGATGGAAAATGCCACTTTAACACTGGATCAATTCTGGTTCAGCTATGATGAGACAAGGGCATCATAAGGCAGTGTTCCTAAAGAACTGTTACTGTGGCAAGGCAGTCTTTGGGCTGCAATCAGGGGATGAGGTCTTTGGCCCTCTCCTTAGCCCACTGGTAGATTATGCCTTCTTCCCCATGTTTTGCATTACCCCCAGAACATATAGTTGAAATGACTTAATGCTATTTGGCATTGTGAATTAGAGACACAGTCAGCCACATCTGGCTTGAGACTACGGGGGGGTCATGCAAAGACAATCCTTATTTCCATAGATTTAGTGCATATTACAAGCGCAGACTCCTGGCAAATAGAAGGGGTAGAAATGGAAGCAGTAACAGACTTCATTTATTTGGGCTCCAAGATCACCGCAGACGGAGACTGCAGCCATGAAATTAAAAGACGCTTG